TGACTAGAATCTCTCCAAACTGGACTAAAGTTTAATGCGGGCCACCTAAAGCCAAATTGTTAATACTGAACATCTAAAGCTAGGGTTCTAAATACAAAGAGAGGGTTTATAATTAAGTATGATGCCCAATGGCAAGAAATCTGCATGACTGACATCTATACAGAACACAAAAAAACAAAGGACTTATTTAAACTTGTGTTTATTAATACATGAAACAAGAATATGACCTTTATATCTGCAATATAAATATAGAGTTCACAAAGCAGCCCAAAGATAACAACTGAAGCTCCCTCTAAAAAGAGGAATTGCTTTTACATGGCTTTGTTCTTCCAGCGATTTTAATGCAAGTTAAATTGTTCATGGAAGGGCAAAGAGGAAGATGATGGCATCGTATTCATTTTTCTTTTTTTAAAAAAAAATATGTAGCTATTTTGGCAATTACATTTCCAAACCCAATCTTTTGGTCTGTGCACATATAGAGACATCAGCATCTGAGCAGTTACTACTCAGCATGGATCAGAGCTGGAGTTAAGATTTGTTTTAAAACACAATGTTATGAATACACCTGTAAGAATGCGCAACTGGTGGCACTGAGAAGTCACTAAATACTGCATTACACTTCCCAGTATTTTATTTTGGGGGTGGTATGCATGGACTGCCTGTTGATACTTTTATATGAACTCAGCCTTCAAGAAAGAACAGAGCTCAAATTGCAAACAGCATCTCTGAAAACATTATTGCTGCAATACCAGACAGAGTTAAAAAGGTGACAGTGAGAGGAGGCATAATATCAAAAAAGTTACTACCTTCAAATTTGTTTACTTTCTTTTCCACACACATTTCTGAAGCACAGCTTTATGCAGATCTCTGTCCTAGCCTTCCAAATAGTTTCAGACATAAAAGTTTCATTTTAAAGACAGCGCTTTATGAGCAAACTCTTCAAATTTTATCAAAACTATGTAACATAAGTTATTTTTCCTTTTATCACACTCAGTATGATTTTTAAGCCTGATAGCTTCTCTAGTAAGACAATATTATTCTATCAAAAGAAATTCTTAACTAGGATAAACATGACTACTTTATTCTCCATAAACTTTTCTTCAATACTGATCTCTGCCATGATACCTAACCAATTCTTATCAGAGACTGCTGAATAAAACTTCATCTATGGACATTTATCAGAAAACAAAATTAAAAAGTACCTGTTTCAACATTTATCCAACATCAACATCCACAACTGATACAATTCTACTTAGATGAGATGGTAAAAAAAAAAATTGTTACCATGTAATCTCTCTTTGATCAGCATGATTTTTCACACTTCAATCACATTCCCTCTTACTCCTTTTTTCTAAATTGAAGAATATCTCTGTGTAAGTCACTCCTTGCATAGAAGCCATTCTACACTTCTGGGCATGCTGGTAACCAGTTTTCCATTTTTTCTGTACTGGTTATGAGATCTGGGGACCACAACTGCACAATAGTCAAGCTATATGGTGCACTATGGATGTGTACAGCAGCACAGTGATATTTTCTGTTTCATTCTGTGTTCCTTTCATAGTTGTTCCTAATAATCTATTTGATCTGACCACTATGGAGCACTAAGCTGCTGCTTTCACAGAAGTATTCTTACAGTCTCACTTCTCTCATCCCCAAATAGTAACTGATCACAACTCATACCATATGAGCAAAGTCAAGACTTTTCCCCACTTAACTAATTTTTTTAATATTTTTCACAAGATATCATGAAATAAATGTAGGAAGTAGTATATCACAGAAAACATTTTATTGTCAATGTTTCAAATGCTCCAAAACGTTTTATGTTTCAATCATATAGCACACGTATGTAGTGAAAGTGCATTTGAGATTAATAAAGATCTAAAATCTTAAAGATGAGGTAGAAAGCAAAACTGATATGTTACCTAAGGGAACACATAAGTATTTGGCAACAGCCAAAGCTGTAACAATCATAATGCAAAACAGATATATCCAGTATCTGAAATGGCTAAAATTATTTGTTGCACTCTCTTTTCTCCAAAATTCTATGAATAAATAAAAATCAAATCCTATCTAATGAAAGATATTAGTGTCATACAATCTTCTTGAGCCACAAAACTGGCTGATCAGCTTATTAACCTGCTTCTAACCATGCCCTGAAATAGAGATCCCTGTCAAATCATCTGATTGGTGAAGTGCAGGCATAGAGTATAGGCTATCAAAGAGTTCATTAATTGAAACATTAGTATACCTTCAGAATTTTTTTTCATTTTGAGTATTTATTTAGTTTTCAGCTTTTAACTATAGTCTACTGCTATAATTGAAAAATGGAATATTTTTCTGATAAAGGAAATCCAATCAGGTATGAAAGAACTCATCAAGGTAATACATAACATTAAAGTAATTATCTTTATAAGACAACCAAGCAGACAGACATTACTGCTTCTTTAAACATCATCTCCATTTCCCTTTATTTTCAGGTAGCTTTCTAGTTTTTCAAGCTCATAAATGCACTCATTACACACAGTCTTACACTTCATATTCTTCATCCTACCATTTTCCTATCTCTTCCAGGACTGCATTCAACTTAATTTGTTCTTCCCCAAAAATATTAAGGAAGACAGTAGCATTTTTAAATATTTAATTAAGATGGCACCATAACAAAGAAATGTTTTAGAGAGAAATACAGTTCTGACAAGAAACATTTCCATGTGAAAGAGAACATTAGTCATGGAAAAGCCTTCTGAATCCAGCTGGACTCATTGCACAAAAAGATGAATCTGTATGCTCCTTTGTAACAGCTCAGCTATGGTACTGTAGGATAACTAAAGCCAGTTGTTAGAGATTTCAGAGTCAGAGCCTAGATCCTATATCCTGCCAAAGTATCTACCAGTGGCAGAAAGCAGAGTTCTCCCATTGAGCCAGTGGTGATTAAGGGTTTGCATTTTGAAAGCTATATCTAATCCAATTCTTGGAAGAAAAGAATGTGTAGCTTTATGATACGCAACTCTAAGCTAATTTTGGTTTAATTACTTCTAAAATTCTAAATGAAAATCCAAGCAGATGATTTACACATGAACAATTTTTCCCAATGTTCCCCATCACTAATGCATTATACCCTACTCAACCACAATAGATGAAATCCATATCTCGTGGAAATCAGAAAGAATTCCAGCACTGATTTTTAAAAGAAAGATTAATGTCACTGAAATCAGCCTCTTCTCTAAAGGAATGGACATCTACATTCCAAATCAGATTTGTGTCCCATAACAATTAGACTCCTTCAAAATAAATTCTGCATGTTCAGGATTTTTTTTAGGCCTCTCTTAGCATCTTAATTTAAAAAACTAAACTCCTAAAAAACAAATATCACAATGCATTCAAATTTGCATTCCATAGCATCTGTGCCAACATCTTTATCCAGCAATTAAGTTTACAGAATTGACCTCTGTTATGGGAGAAGTACTGATACAATCTAAATTGAAGCTCTGAATAAAAGAAATCAATAGAAACTTATCTGAGACTTCAACAATACCAGGTTATCATTTTTGGTTTTGAATACTACAGATCCCCAGTCTCAACAACAAATATTTTGCCTCTGACAATGTTCAGAGAATATGTGTGAGGGTTAATAAGTAAGGTAATTCCTGCATATTTAATTCACTCTATTAGTAAGTTAAATGTGTCCCACTTCTGACTGGTTTTACAGAAGATAACAGCCTTCCAGTGATGATAGCTAGTTTACTTCCTCATTTAGTTGCTGTGGTCAACTGAAGAAGCAATTTAAAATCTTGTCATTAAACACTTGAAATTAAACCCAACAAGAGGCAGACAATCAGAACTCTTACTGCCATTGTCTTGCATGTGGCATTCATTCTAACATATCACAAAATAAGATCTTCTTTTAGAAAAAGCATAATTCAATTAATTGCTTCAGACCCTTTCTGGGAAGGTATCGGTTGCCTTTGTCAGGTTCCAAAAGACATTCAGAACAAAGAATTCTGATATTGCTCTGTGACCCACCTATTTTCTGATATCAGAAGTGATGCTTCACGAATAGTTAAGTTTTTTTTAAAAGCAAATTCATTAAAACTTCCAGTTTATAATAATATTAGGGGACATTGATTGTAATAAACATGGCTGTTTTTAAAAGACCATGAGGAGCAATAAACTTAAAACAACTACTTGTAAAAAAAAACCAAACAAAACAAACAAAACAGAAACACCAGACATTTTTCATGCCTTTTGCCAGGAAGCTCTCTAAACTCAAATTAGTCACTAATTTCTCAGCTACTGCTGCATATTACTTCCTGTTTTTTCGAAAAAGCAACTGTTAAAGGAATTTGAAAACAAAAGGTGTTGAGAATGAACTCTCATAACCAAATTCAGAACTTGACCTGTTGTTATTGCTCTATGTATGCATTGAAGAATGATTCTTTACTTACCAAAACAACAAAAAAAATAACCATAACCAAGAACATAGGACTAAAGGCCATACCTCATACAAAGCTGCCACAGTAAGAAGTCAAGTTCCTGAAAGTTAAGACAACTATTTTTTCCTCCACTTACCATAAAAAAAAACGGAGTAGTTGAACTTCTATGTAAATATAAACCAGCCCAGTCATGTCACAGTGCCAGATACAAACGGACTGTACCTACCAAATCAGCCTTCACGAACAACTTTAACATTCACTTGCCTAAAGTCTGGATCACGATGCAACTAAGGCAGCCACTGCACACCCTGTCCTCTGCTGAGAGCAGCAGCTCTGGACAGCCAGCAAAGCAGAAATGAAGGCACCTACCTAGAGGATTTTCGAGTCAAAGGCAAGGCACCTGGAAATCAAGACACTTCTGGAATTAGCTAGCCGCAGAGTGGGATGGTTTGCTTTAGTTGTTTGTTGTGTTGTGTTGGGGTTTTTTAATTAGTTTTGGATTTATGCAATTAGTGTCCTTCTAAGTCTGTTTTTAAATAACTAAAGCCTCCTACTCACTTCAACTTATATTTATTCTGTTCAGCTCTCTCTCTGAATTTATAAAACCACCTTTAAATAGTCCCACGCTTTGGTAGCTTTCCTTGAAATGACTCACATGTTTAAGTTTATCTGAACAAAACAAAAAACATGACAAATGTAATCCTGTATTTTCCAGAACTACATCATCTAAAAACCTTTTATTATTCCGCAAAACAAAGTTGAAGGGCAGCTGCCTTTCACTAATGAAGGGTAATTTATGGAATTAACTATCTCTTTTTGGTTCTTAACTTTAGTATTATTCAAAAAGATAATGCATTACTTTTCAATAGGCATACACAAAAATGCATGTTTCTGTTCAAACACCTCTGAGCTTTTACCCGAAAAGGAAGCAACCACCACCGCCTGGACAAACGCTCCCAAACAGAGTGTTCATTATCATGGGCAGTCGCACTAACTTCAAGCTGATGTCTGGTAACAGTGGGCACCAGATCCAGCGATCACTGGCAAGCTCAGCTCCACACCCGAAGTTACGGGTAACGACTGCATTTGCACAACCGGTTACCCACTAGAGGGAGTCGCTGTTTCACACACTAAATCCCAGTCGGTCAACATCGGACCGACATCGAAACGCGACTCCTCTGGAATTGTCAGAGCAACAGAAAATACTACTATAGCTAAAACAAAACCTGAAGTTCAGAAACAACTCAATACAAAAAAATCACATTAAAGTGCTCTTTAGAAAAAGAAAAAACAAAACATGGTTATTTTATGCTTCTCATACAGTGGTAACTGGAAACAGTTTTGCCAAGGTACACTCTTACAGAGCCTCTGATATATGTGTTCTGGCTATACACTGTAACTCAAGTTTTGTGCAAATTAGTGCGAAATAGGAATTATGGTATTTTATGGTGTATTTCCTCCATTATATCATGGGCAACATTACTGGGGCATGGGATAAATTGGAGTCTTCTACTTAAAAAATTCAAACAATCATTTCTAAAGGCTGAGACCCCAAAGGTTCTTAATACTGCTGGCAAGGAAAAAGACAAAGGCCATTAAAATCAAGGGACATACCATTTCAATCAACTTTCTACAGTCTTTAACATCACTTACTGACAACTTTTTAACTTTCAGACATAAATGAAGAGGCACTTTTGGAATCCTGAGATAAGAAGAAACCTTATTCTAATTCCCAAAGATGAATTATCATGGGTAATGTGTTACTATGCTGACAAAACCACTGAGGCCCTCACATAGTTAAAAACATCTGAGTTACCAATTCCTGCATATGAAATTTCTTGAAGAGTGGAATCAACGAAGGTTAAAAACAAGACAGTCCTTATATACCACTCAAAATAGTAACATTTTTCCATATTATTTCTGTAGCCAAATATTTCACTTCATTCTTTAACACATATATTTTGAGAACAAATGGAAGATAACTAAAGAAAAATGCAAAAACCACAAATACAGATGCACGCTGTATTTTCATTTACATCAGATCTCAACACTTCAAAAAAAGAAATCTGCAACACAAGCTCTGTTCTGTAACATACCTGATAAATCTGGCTTGGAGGTTTTGAGCAAGAGCTGGAAATCACAGAAAAATCCCCATCAGATAGTAGTACTTGCAGCTTAATGTCTATCTCATTCAGGTGATGAAATTCCATCGGTTCAGGTGTGTACCCTTCTCCCGGTGCTAGCCAGCCAGATACATCCTCCTATTGAAATATACAGAAAACATTCAATCCTCATTCCCAAAGGAAACAGACTTTAAAGGCAGTTTACACATCAAGTGTACTTATTTTTAAAACAAATCGTACTTTAGAATAAAATGTAAGTTTTCATTCAACACGGTATATAGCTGAAATCTGCCAATATTCACATACCAAGCACATTCAAAAGCAGATATGGACAGAACAATTAGATGCATGAATTTTTGATTTTTAAATATAGCCAAGCAGCAACTTAAATGGGCTTTAAAAATATATATATATTTAATTTTATTTTTAGAGAACACATACATCTACACGCACTGTTAACATGTAATAGCAAAAAACGTGTTGTGTTAACCTAAATAGACATCTGCTATTATTTTACTTATTTCCATAAAAATCTGAAGCCTATATCCTCAATGACTAGCCACTCAGAAGCCCTGAAATAAAATTCCTCACAGCCAGACACCCCACCTCCATGCCAATTGGCCAAAGAGCAATCAGACAGCTCTCAAGTTCCCCATCCATTCTCCTGAAGCAACTCCCTTGATCAAGTTCTCTTAAGAGAAGCGGTTTGGATAGCTAACTCCTTTTCCTTAATGATGCATCTCATGCTATAGCCTCTTAGCCAAGTTAGTCAAACCTTTAAAACAGTCTCATGCCATGCCTATTGCAGCTCCCTTCCATGGATGCAAACTCTTCCCATGTTGCAGTTTCTGTAACTGTTCAATATAGTAGTCTCAGCTCCCTTTTGAAGGAATAATTGCTTGTCACAGTCTAACTTGCATATAGATCTTGCTGTCCAGTGCTGCACAGTAAGCATCACTTTATGATGCCACTGACATGGAAATTACTCTTATGAGTGCTGTGCTCCTTTGCAAGATAGTGCAGAGGACAGAGGTGAAGAGGAAAGTGTCTGGCAGACATAGATCCACCAGTGCTAAGACAGAAGAACATGCTATAAGCTCACTTTTTCAATGCTAACATTGAAGTGGAAAAGCACAGCCCTCAGAAATTGCACTAGAACTGTCCTCAACATTATCCTAAACCATTTCTGTTATGCCTTGCATCTCAGCGCGCTTTGTTTGCACGATTATTCTGGAGACAACGCATTACAGCTTAAGTCCAACGAACTGTACAGAGAGTCGACCATATAGCAAACTTGAGACAGCAAGATATTTTTTGCTTTTAAAAAAGACAAATGCAAGTCAACAGGCATAAAAATGAGATGTTCTCAACTATACTGAACCCATCTTGTCAAACTCCCTCAATGAACTTGCATCTCAAAGTCTGGCAGCAAATGCAGAGACACATCTGTTCTGGTACACACTCCATCACACCTGCAGAGCAGCACATTAGAAGTCCAAATAAAGTGGAATATAATACACTACTCTACTGTCTTCTGAAGGAAGGGGAAGCAACAGACTCCTGAGTAAGTCAAAGGAGGAAATACAATCAGCAGCTATGTCTAAAAGGGCAACCACTTTCCATCCAATAAGGAGTCAAGAAGAGAGGAAGCTCGACCAAAAACAGGCTTGGAATGAAACTGCAGAGGTTGATGGTATGGCAGAAACCGCCTAGAGCCAAATCTCAAAACGAGGGTATGAGGTGTAGTGTGACACTTGCAACGTATCACCAAAGAAGAAAACAAGGCATCCATAGGAAAAGCAAAGGAACTCCTCTGAGGTGAGTAGCTGCCACTCTTCGAGAGCCCCTGTATGTTATCACAGAAACACTGAGAAAGACAGAGAGCACAGAGTTCTTTTCCTGATTGCGATTTACATGACTTTTTCCTCTTGAGAGCAGTAACACCTGACTGACCAATATGAATATGTGCTCCTAGTATAGACATATCATGAGTGAGCGTGGCCCACTTAACTCAAACAAATGAGCTCACATTCACAAACAGATGCAGGTCCTCCACAGCCACCTGGCACTCCTGTCTCACACTTACGGAAGCAAGTCTGTACAACCACCATTCATTGGGAATGACAGCAGATTACATCTCTGTCCTGACCACAAAGAAACACCAGGTGAGACCTTAGAAGGGCAGGGCAGGGATGTGAGAGAGGACATGAGTGTATTTCTGGTTTCCTTTCTTTTTCCTAACAGAAGAGGGCCAGCACCTTGTCCTAAGACTTCAACATCTGTCTTGCAAGGGATTCACGTCCACCGCTCCTTTACAGCTTCCAGATTAGTCCTCTGGCTATTCAAGCAGCCACATCCACACAAGAGGAGGAAATATCAGCTTCCAATTACAATACCACTGCTATGAGGTCATCCCTGGTTCATCCTTGTTACCCTAAAGCACACTGCAAAAAGGAAAAAAGCATACCCCAAACACTTGTCAGAAATTACCTCCATACTAAATTGAAAAAAAAAAAAAACAGAGTCATCTCTTTCGTGAAACTAAATCAGTTCTTCTAATGCTTTCTCATACAAGTATGATGACACAACTAAGAAGTCTGACTGGACATGACCCGACTCCAGAAAAGCCACTCAGAAATGTCTCTAGAAGCTTGCCAGCTTTGTGAAAGCGTCTGTTCAGATGAGACAGTGACCATCGTAACGTAAGTATCCAGTGTGGTACTATGCTTGTGCCATGTTAACCACCTCTTAATGAGACACTGAAGAGCACAGTGCAAACACACAGAAATGACTCTACAGGAGTCAGTTGAGCTGCAACTGGGCTTATTAGCTACAGCTCAGTGTCTATATCCCATGCTCTCATATCCCATGCTCCAAGTATCCAAATTACTTCAGTAGTCACTTTACTCCAGGGTTAAACGGACTTAACATATTCTCTTTTGTATTTTCAAAATGGCTTTGCTTGGAAGATAAGCTTCTGTCCTGTCAATGTTTCCCGTGTGTTGACTCAGAACAATACTTTTATAACAGCACAGTCAGTTCTTATTACTGTGGAACATCTGAAACAAATCATACTCCTGCAGCTTTGACAATTGGACTAGCATGAATATGTACTTCTAAAATATTTTAAATACTCATAAAACACTTTTTTAAAAAGTGAGAAGTGCTGTTTGGACATTTGACATATTTAGTAGTATGAGTCAAGTGAAGTTATTGAATCCACATTACGTTATACAGAGGAATTCATACAGCATAGCCAGTTCTGCCTTGATCGATAACCTCCAAAACATTACTTTAGCCAATGTGGTTGCATCAGCTTTTTAAAAGTCAGAATGAAATAAAATTAAAGTGGCCATCAGTTGGACTGTTACCTGGGCCAGCTTGAAGCAGTCTAGATTACTCATTAGCTGATAATTTCCTCATGATCTTTTTTATAAAGCAGCCCCAGGAAATGCCTCACCCACAATATAATTCAAATGTGGGAGAGGAAGAACCCATCTCCAGACTAGACAGGTTTAAGTAACTATTATCCTTTCTTTTATTCTACTTGGCAGTAGTTTAGTAGCTGTTTAAAGACAGATGATCTAGTACACACTAGACTAACCCACAAATTACCATTCCCACTCTTGTCCACTGTATGAAGAACATACAGCAACACGTCCTGTGTAGTGATCTATTTAATATCTGATATAAATAGTAAAATCTCTACAGATACATGCCCACAAGATAGTGACATGTGCCAAATACAAAATTCTAAAAGAAGCCACTAGTCTGTAGGTCAGAAAGCTATGATGTTTACTAACAGAAGGCTGTGTAAAACATCTTCACACCTTTAAATGCTGATGTTTATCACATGAAGGACCATCTCCTCAAATTGAAACATATCCTTGATCAGAAAAGAAGAACAGAAAACATGGTATTGTTAATCAAACACCAACCTTTTCAGCTAGAGAGGAAAAACAAAAAAAACAAGCAAAAACCCCACAACCCTCTCCCCTACAGTTTCTTCCTATTCAAAGGCCGGATAAAGTACTGTTTCAGCTGAACATTTTGTCACCCTTACGTGGGATTATAATGCCAAACCTGTTGCTGGCATATCCAATAGAATACCTTGAATCTTTTCCTAAAAGCACAGACAAAAGGTCAATTAAACAATGATCCAGTGAGCTTTGTGTTTTTTTCTTCTACTAATATGCAACAAATTAAAAGTACAATAAAAATCAACTTTCCTAACCAGCAGATCAACATTAGACCAAAGAGCCTTCCGCTGCACTTTTTTAACACTAAACTATGTCAGCTAAGTCAAATATCTTTGTGTAACATCACTAACTGATGCGTATTTTACACAGATAAATAAGTCAATCTGCAAGCTTGGTGTTCATGTCCAAAAAAATTAAATAAGCCTTCTATGTAAAGCAAGAGAATGAAAACCAGGTCAACAGGAAGACTGGTACAAGTTACAGAAGTTTTTCATCTCATGAACACAGGTAGTTAGTGTGGCTGATATTTTCAAACATTTGGATACCAATGATCAGCAAAGGTTATGTTTTCTGTGCTTCTGCCTTAGCTTACTAACTGTGAAAGGACAGTTACTGTCAAAATACTGCACATTTATATAATCATAGCCATTTGGCCATCAGGTTTTCCTGACTAATACGGAATCCTTCACTTAACATTTGCCACACAAAGCTCTGAAAATGCCAAAACACAGTGTATATTTACTAGTTTCCTTAGAGTAAAAAGAAAAGTTTTGGACCCTGGACCAAATGAGTTTCAACCTAGAAATCACACCAAAACTAGGAAAATTACAGATTTGTTTAATGTCACAAACCATGGGGGTAGGTTAGTTCTCTGTTTGCATAACTAGTTTGGACTCAGATGAAGAAAACTCTGAGCTTACCTCATATTCTGAAACAGTAATTTATGAAGACTGATTTTAGATACATTTTATAAAAGAGTAATGAAGAGCATCACCTCTTGGATGTCTTCACCATCCTTAGTAGAAAATAACTCAAAGTAAAATACGGGAAGAGAGAATTAAAAAAAACAAAAAAAAAACCAAACAAACAAAAAAAACATTGCATTTGTTTTTGTTTCTTTCACACCTAAGTTGTTATTTAATCTACTGAAAAATAATTTACTCTAGATCATTTTTAGCTATATAAATTAAACAAAATCTGGACCTTGGATATATTTTGTTCATTCCACACAAAGTTCACGTCTTTCTTCTTAGGTACTGTGATTCAGTGTATACTTACAAATGTTGTGAAAAAGTTTAGAACATTACTATAGACTTAACATAATGTACATTTTAATGTAAAATAAATTAGAAAGGTCACCTAATTTCTTCACACAAAGCACTTTCCCAGTATTTCTTATTTATTAAAATGCAAGTTTCTTGAAGTGTTATATCAAGTTTACATAGTTTCATGAGGTTCATTCTATAAAAACACATCTTTAGCATGTTTAATACCATATATAGTTGAAAAGTGCTGTAAGTTTCTAGTATGAATCATTTTTCAAACCAAATTTTATCTTCCCATCTAGCAGCCTTATGATTACTCCTGTAAAACAACGGAGCTCCTGAGAACTCCTTCACTGTGACATTCCTCTCAAAGCAGTAAGAAAAAAAGGCCATCTCCTAGTAATGGAGAGATCAAAAGACTATTTGATATCTTCATTTTACTGGGAATCATTTTGTGGCACAGACTCTCCTAGAAGTAGTGACTGGTGAGACAATCAAACACTTTATTTTTACTCTCCATGAGGAAAGGCATTTCTATCTACTTCAGCTCTTGCTATCCACTGCAGTATGCAGACTGCACGCTCTTTAACAGTATTACATTAAAGCAAAAATATCTAATACTTAAGCAGACTTTGGCCCCTCTGTATACTTTTAAGACAGAGTGAGTTGGAAGCCACTCAAAGATGTCATGTTATCTTTTTAAACGGACACATAAACTTCATCAATGTATAGGTCCCCAACTGTTGCATTCTGAAGTTCATGTCCTCAAAAAACTCTCTTTTTGAAGTAGATACTGGCCCTACTACCAGAGATTACAGCACTAGCCCCTCAGATTGATAGGCGAAACTCCACATTTTTTGAGGAGAAAATAGGTCATCATCTTCTCCGAGTATGCTTCTAAGGCTGCTTCCACACATGTCTAACTTTTCTTTTAAGTTCTGCTGTTTTTCTGAGGCCAGGCATGACCAAGTGTTAGTAAAACGAACAAAGAAGCCAATGAAAATTCATTCTTGGAGATAAAGCCAACTGGATTTGTCCAGCTTTGCTCTCGTATCTCAGTGGGCTACTTCATGGTAGGATTAAAACCAAATCAAATTTAGATTTACCTTAAAAATAAGCCAAATATAACAGGACAGTACGAATTAAAGTTGCCATACCTCAAGATCGTACAATTCAATTCCATCTTCTGTATCTTTCAATAGCTCAATTAGCCTTTTTCTTTCTCCCTCAAGCATAACAATCTGGTTTCCTGAATCCTTTGCTAGCTGAAATATTTACAAAAAGAAAAAAATTAACAAACTTTAGAACTCCATTAGTTCGAACAGCACCAAAACAAAATTTTTAAACTTTAATAAATTAAGATCCAAATCTTGCTTATTGCCATAATACAAATTATCACCTTGACAGAAAAATCTAGCAGCCTACACATAATAAATCAATAATCTTACAATAGTCTTCGACATAGTAGGGGGGCAGATATTTTTCATTAGATGAAAAATCATTATAGCTACTAGGTCTTCACAAAAAAAAAAAAAAAAAAGGCATGAAAATCAAGGCATTTATTTTCTGACAGAAAGAATTCTTCTGTAAATAAAGGTCCCATGCAGGCTACACATGAACAATCTGTGTAACTATTCCTTCTCTATGAATAAGAATATCTTCCTTTAACTTAACAGTAAATACATTTAAACAAAGCATTAGGAAATACTTGCCCTCAAAACAAGCCATGTCCAGGAACAAACAGAACAATTCAGTTTCCAGTACTCTTTAGCAAACACACAGAAGCAGTATTATCCCCACCAATCTGAGCATCCAAGATCAGAATTATCTTATACAGTACTCTGCCATGAACAACACTTTTACAGCAAGATTTTTTTCATTTATGCCTAATAAGCTTTTTTTCCTGATAAAAAACCACAACTGTCTCAAGAATACTTATACACTATTTTTTAGTTAACATTTAACAAAATGTTAATGATTTTATCCTTTAATGCTTACCTCGATGTTCTTTTTAATGAAATCCTGATCGTTTTTACTTTTGCTATGCATTTTTTCTGCTCGATTAAGAAATTCATTTGTTTCTAATTCACTTGGATAATCTGAAATTTGAGGAAGAGAAATTGCTAAATTATGATCATTCTTTTTCTGATTAAATGAGAGCAATCCTATTTAAATCTTTAACAAATATAAAGTGGATAGACAAAATTTTTATATGCTGTTTTCATTATTTATATATATTATATTGCTATATTTAAAACATAACTGTTGTCAAAATCTAATCTCATTTTTAAGCTTTTATTATATGAGATCATTTAATGTTGCAAAGCCTAAAATTCTTTTGGATTTCTGACCTCAAAAATGTTAAACATGGTGGCTTAAAAAGCCACAGCATTCCTTCAAACCCTATCATTGTTTCAGTTTTATCATCAGTACAAAACCAGACAATAATTTTTTTGAAAACCGCAGAACTATTTGGAGACATATCAAGTACATTTTTTAAAATAAAACAGCTGAAGAACAGATGATATAGTTGATACTATTATAACACAACTTATAAAACGAATTTTGTTTAAAAATATAACTCATCATAGAGCTGTAAAGCTATTAAAGAGCCACATGATATTCTGACAAGATCACACATGTTTTTTTCAACAATGGGTTTCTATCCATCGTACAAAAATGGGCACATATTCTGTTTTCCAGAGTCTTTTACCAGTTTTAAAACAGCAATTCCTTTACAAACAGTGAATATTTATCACGTTAAATAACGAGTGTAAGCAAATACAACCAACTTCTAAGTCTCAAAAACTACTTCAAAAGTACTTTTTTGCTTTTCTGGAAATTAGAGATTTGAAAAATAGGTGGGCTGTTTGCCTACAAAAAAAACTCAACAATTTAACGGGTTAGATAACAGAAAATAGGCTATCAAAGTTTACATGGAAGGAACTCTTTTTCAGTGTGAGTAGATTGAAAGCAAACTCCCAAAGACACAAAATAAATTCCGTGCACTCTTTTACACACTATGGACAAAAAAAAAAAAAACCAAACCAAACAACACTCTGCAACATTCTCACCAATCAGACGTACTCTCAAATTGCAAGTAAACGTTAAAGGACTGAGGTGTTGGACCTGATCAAGAAAACCCTGTCACAGTTCAAATGCACAACTGTTTACTGAAAGCATCCCAAACTATCTTTAACATTACCGGGTAACATCTTGAATGTACCAAGGAACTGGATCATATAAGAATTTACCAATCAATGTAAACATGCTAAGTTGTACCCTGAAATGAGCAAAACACACCAAACACCAACACAACATGCAACGTATATGAAACATTACTTTTAAGCGACAACTTTCTGTAACTGCAGAATAAGCATTTTCAAGAGGAAGCTATCATACAGAACATCTCAGAACATTCAAGTAAAGAAGAAACAGACATGGATCACTGGAACAAAGAACACGCTGAAGATTGCCAAGGATAAGTAAAAGAGAGTCTGCAGCTCAACAAGTTTTGCATACAAGTTTTGGTAGATTTCGTACAAATTTCAAAGATTTGGTAGAAATCTTGATGAGACTGCTAAAGTAATATTACAAAACCAACACATATATTCTTCCTCACAATTTAAGCTCCTCTTGTTCAGGGTCTGCGTTATGACAACTGTTACACAGTAATCCAAAAGCAACCAAACCAATAAGTCTTAGCCATTCAGAAACCACATCAAAAGCCTCCAGCAGAAATAGTAAAAATCAGTTCAGTAATTTATTGCTCATAAGTTGTAAGTGACCTCTATTTCATGTGTTCCCAAACTAGGAGAATGAACATCTCAATACAGCACAAGTAACAGCAGCTCCCAACCATGCCTGTCCTGAATACTGGTAATGAAACCTGCCATTGCCCCTATTCAGGCACACTCAAGTGCAACTCAGAAATTGTGACGGTGGAAGCTGAGGGTCAGGCTTCATTTTAAGGGAGGAAAGAAGACACATGGTAGGAAGACAGAGAAATCCAAAGCACAGCACTGCTCTATCCCGGTGTGAAAAAACATTTAATAACACAAAGTTAAGGTCACAATCTGGTGGACTAAGACAAGTGATTAAATGATAAGGAAGCTGAAGTCCAGGTTAAAAAAGTTTCAATATGCAGTCATATTCTAAAAAGTGCAGAGATTCTGCTGCCAGCAGTAGTTCAACCTTGAGGAACATCCATTTATTATATCCTTGTCATCTTTGCCAGTCACCAGGAAGATAGATTCCTTCTGTTTACATAGAATGGTAGATGACAAAGAAATAAACAATTGCAGCTGATAGCAATGGCAGCTGAAGCTATTCTTCTTATGTCCCAACACATGTGAGAAGTTACTTAACCATACAAATTTGAATTTCAAACAGGGAAAGAACAGAGGCACAAAAGCATAATTTCATTTATTTTGAAGCATTGGACACACTACACTACTACTAGCATTTGAACTCCTACACAGTGCACATAAGCAAGTGATGTCTAAAATAATCAGCACAGATGTTTGGTTTTCGCCAGAAAATACTTTATCTATAAAAGCAATGCAGAATGCAGCCCTTACAATAATCTGTGTAACAAAATATAAAATGAGTTGTCTGAAGATTTAGGTTTGTCACAACATCCATATAATTTCTCCTGAAAACAAAAAAAATACAGAACAGCTGAAACTGTATACAGCATCACTCTTCATTTTTACATGGTTTCTTGAATATAAGCCTATTAATGAAAGTTACTGTACCTTAGAATAACAGCAAATACAAGTTTCTAAAGAAATTCCATTAAGAACCAATGGTACATTTTACAATGAATCAGTTACACACTTCATCATTTTGCAATGAAAGAAAAAAGTTTTATAACCCAAAAGTAAACATTTTCTTAGCAAGTTGAGCAAAATGTTTTATACGTCACAAACAAAATTATTCTCTTCTATAATTTGCAAAAAAAAATAAGAACTGTCGCTGTTCCACTAAGCAACCTTGTTTTTTCTGATGTCATTGGCCTAGCCACAAAGGCCAAGTCTTCATTACCCACCCACTGTACATGCTGTTTTGCCATATCTAGAAATATAAACTATACGATTAATAAAGCTTACCCTGGTTATGTTGGGTTTTATGGCAATCATATTCTTCTGGATTCATTTGTGTGTGAAATACTGAAGTACATATTTCATCTTCTTTAGCATGGGAGGGATCTGTAAGGAATTTTTTCAGTAAAATTTAATTGAAATGTATTTAAAGAAGATCCAGTTTCATGTGTATCATACTATAAGATCGCACGCATGAACGTTACAGACACTTGGATAAATTACATAACCACCGTATTCCTCAATAAATAAAGAAGGGAGAAAAGTGTAAGGTGTGTCTCATGAATAATTATGCTATTTCATATGGCTGTTTTTATTTTTAATAACTACAGCCCATGTAGGACAAATAATTACATTCTAGAAGATGCAGCCCAAGGCTGTAAAGTTCAAAAGCCTCTGCAGACATCATGTGGTAAGTCATCTAGAACTTTGAATGAAAATAAAGTATCCAGGTTTTTGCAGCTGGTGTCTGCCTGCAAACGAATTATTAGACTTCCAAATGGCTTAGGTCAAGGGTATAGTCTAGAGACAAGGATTCAAACATCCTAGCATGCAAGAGTTGTTTCAGTTACTTAAAGAAAAAAAAAAATCAGTTATGGTATGGTCATACATCAACTGGAAGTGTAAGTTAGAGTATTAACTTTCAGTCTATACACTTAGCACTTACAGAAAAGGATGTGTTTTGCAAAGAACCATATATATCACATATGAAAAATGTGTTTTTCACAATGAAAAAAACAACCAACATCCTGTAATAATGGAGTTTAATGGACTCAACTGAAAGTACGATTTTGTTACATAGACCACAGGGGAATGAATTTAAGGCTGTTTAATTAACTCCTGATATACATTTCTGCCATGAGCGTGTCAGAGGTTTTTTTGTGCTGAAGAGGCTAGGACACATAAGTTATTAACGAGTTTGTACCCAAAACTTGTGCCTGATTTCACAGCCACATTAAAAGCTACAATTAAATAGCTCTCATATATAATTTATTTAATAAAGCTCTTTATCTAATTCAAGGTCCAAAAAGAAAAATACATGAATTGCACTCCATTTCGGTATCAACCAGGGCAGCTATCAGGGCATTCATTTAAATAAATAAATAAATAAATAAGTGAGACCTGAAAAGTAAGGCACGTGCATGTCATAGAAAATTCAAGATAAAGATCAAGCTGAAGGAAAAATATAAATCTAAACTATGCAGAATGTTGTCAGTACGGTATGCTAGAACCCATATGATGCACCTGATCGCTACAGCAAGGAGTTACCTTTGAAATAAAAGGGGAATTGAAGCATGGAGCTCATTAACAACCATATAGTCTTGCCTCCCTGTTTTTTTACTATATCCTGACATCTACTGGAGACTTTTTAAATATTGCTGTATCAAATGTTCTTCCCTTAATACCCCAAACTTTAGCAATCAAAATAAAAGCCAGTCACCTTGCAATAATAAGTTTTGTTGAAATGTTTTAACCACCCATCATTATTACGCACATACTTCCAACATTTAATCTCATAGTTTTGCTCAGCAACAAACATTCAGACTTCAAATGCTTTTTCTTAATAAGAAAGAAGACAGGATGAACCACAATTCTGTTTCCTTTCCACCAACAAATCCTTTCAACCAGGGTAGGCAGATGAAGGACAGGATGCAAAATGTGCATATAATTTACATATCTGTGAGAACTCCAGCACCGAGACAGAGTATTCAAACAGCAATTTTTTAAAAACTACTCTTGAGCAGTTTTGACATGGTATATTCTTAACAAATACAGTCTGGTTTTGTTCCTCCTGCCCCTCCCAATACAGACATTGCGAGCAAAATGCCTACAGTTTGTTTCAGCGTCTCCCCCGGTAAAAGTCTAGTCACAGAAATAAAAAGGAGGACATTTTAAAATACCCAATATTTTCTTTTTCCACGTCGCTGCAAGCATGCACATCCTCTGTGCATTCCTGAAGAAAACTACCAATGCTTCAGAACTTGCTTCAACCAATTGCTTCAGAATTCCAACAGAATTGCGTCCTTCTGATTCAGTATGGAAAACGTTTCTAAATAGTTTTTTAAATTTTCTTTCCC